ATTCCTCGGATTTGTCTGACAGAAAAACTTGTTCTTTGGAAAGAGGCTTTTTCAGCACTCATCGGAAAGTTGCTCAACTACGTTTCTGTTCATTCAGAGGCTTTAACTGAATGCCACTTGTCGTAGGAATGTCTTCTAAAGGTGACAAAACTGGTAAAAATAATAATTATATGAAAGAACAACTCCGTGTCGGCAAACTTTGAACATATTAGCTGTTGGCACAGAAATGGTTATTCAGTTTAAATGCATCAAATATGTCGTTTTCAACTATTGCACCTGCCTTTGATTGAGTGAAAAACGTTCTGCTTCCGTCAAGCGTTCATGCAGCCAGATAATAAAGCAAAGAACCGAGCATTTATCCTCTCTAAGTTTCTAAAGCCAGAATCTTCGGTTTTGTGATGCTGGTGATTCATTCAGTTCAACAACAGATTTTCTCTCTTCTGAAACTTACAATGCAGCCTCGTGCCTGGTTCGATGCAAATGGCCAATAGTGTCTCATTTTCTAACAATGTCATATGGCCTTCGGCAATAGTTATGTACTCCGAGGTACTCTTTTACTCCTGATGGATTTAACAGATATTCAAAGCGATTATCGTTCCATTGCAAGTTCAACATTCTGCCATATGAGCGATGCTGGCAATCTGCCAAAAGTTTTTTTGCAAAAAGTTCATTTTATAAACCAATGACAAATTGTAATGTTCGACAGTAATTACTAATGATGTTAGATTTTCGATTCCGCTGGTAAAGACTTCAAATTAATTCACCGTATCGTTTAAGCTGGCCGCTGCTCAATGCTACTTGACCACGTATAGTGAATCTCTGATTTAATTGCCACTGGCCGAAGGTATATAAATGAACAAATATGACTGCCATTATGAGTTCAAACCCGGATGAGAAACGATGAGGGTTTTGGATCGTGATGAGGTCTGCCACCTGCCCCTCATGGTACTGCTGCTATGGAACGCTGTGCCCACTCGGTCGTCATATGGGTTAACGAGAGCCGCACGGGCACCAGGGCAACGAAGATAGACTGTTGGCGATCAGAACCCGCTTCTGGCATTCTGGCAGCTGCGGGAGTAGCGGCATGGCGTCAGCAGCTACCGAAGATCGACAAGAGGGCAACGAAGATTCCATTCAGCAAACAAGCCACTACCGGAGGAGGTAGACAGCACAGTGCCTTTATAGCGCGTCAGGTACGCTTCACGGGAACGACTGACACAGTGGTAAGATGTTGCCATAGAATTTTGAAGTTGAAGGATTATAATTCCGGAAAAGAAAAATTTCTTTTTATCATCTATTGTTATAAACCAGAAATTCCGGCACGTTGGTTTTCAATTGCACCCAGACGAGAAGCGGGTAGCAAGTCG